CATCAATATTTGCTTATTTGGGTACAATGATCTTACGACACTCCCAATTTCCTCGACCATCAGGCGCATATACACTTCACAGGTTCAGCAAACAAATGGAGCCGAAATATATTCATTCCGTCCCAAAGTAATTATTTTATTTACTACATTAAAATAGCAGATAATGAAATATACATTGATAAATTAACAACGTGATGATCATAGGAGCCACGTCTCTCCTTAAGCATTGATAAGTTTGGATGTACTATAGTCTGTATCATACAAAAAAAAAAAAACGGTTCATAAGTATAAAAACGAATAGCTAGTGAAGCCACTTCTAATATGTAGTATATCTGAAAGTGAACAAACAAACGAAGTCGTGTAGGTTTTTGTATGAATTGAGTTCATAGTGAGTTGTGAGCTGTAATGTAGTACGACTGCAACATGTACAACTGAGATAAAGACTTGTTATGACCTCTTCAGGTGAGATTGTTTTTTCGCAACATTTTGTCTCGTTGCTTTTTTATCAATTTGGTTGTGTCAAATTGCATGAAAAGCACGCACATTCTACTGATTGGAATGAAGATCAATTTCAGCCATAGCGGAATGAAAAACCAAAATCGACAAATAGCTTTTCCATTACACCTAGCTAGCCTCTTCCAGCAGTCAGGCACTACTTTTTACTCACATGCCATGTTTCCTCGGATGATGTCCTTTTCTCTTCTGATCAATTTTGGGACAGATTAATGGCGATGGCCATCGCTTTTTTCTCTTTAATTTCCCAGCCTCGATCATTTTATTGTTTACGTGATGAAATGATTTTGTAAATAGATTTAGAGGAAGCTCTGAGTTGCATTGTTATACAAAATAATATTACAAAGCCTCTATCTACAGCTATACAGTCATTATCAAATGAGATTTAGGTAAACTTAAATATCTTAAAATATGTAATAATCTAAACGAATAGAATCAGAAAAATCATAACTCATATTATCACTAACTAATCTTATCAGTAATATATTAGTGTAACAACTATATAAGGTGATCGAACTTTGTAGTAAAATGTGTATATTGTATAGTAGTGTCGCGTTCAATACTCTTAACAGTTAAAATCATTAAAATATTTCAAACATTCAGTTGACAGAATTGCAAAAAGTTTTTTTTTTCTTTTTTCAAAAAAAATTATATTCCAAAACGTCCCAGCCTTATCTCCTTTACAATGAAGAGTTTATAAGCTGTCACTCAGCTCAACGAATATCAGTTTTGTCAGGTTCGGATCGGAGCTCGACTCGGCACGGGCAAGGGGTCGACTCGGGGCGATTCAGGGGGTTGACTCGGATAACGTCATAATGACGTAATGAATATTAATAAATAAAAAAATATATTTTAGTAAAATTTTATAAATTTTATATACATTTGTTTATTGTTAAAATCCTATTAGTGCTTTATAACTTTCAAATGAGTTTTGAAAAAATAAAATTATGACATTAGCTAAATTATTAGTTTAAATTAACTCTTATTATAATTAAAAATAAATAAATTTGATACATTATTGACTTTTATCAATTAAAAATTATATTGCATGTTTAAAAAATATATTTGGTTATAATTTTTCTTTACTTTAGTTTAAAATGATCAATATTGCTTGAGTTATAAATATTTAATTTTTGTTCTAAATAATGATTATAACTCAATTTGATATGTATGATGTGGGATGAATGATTAATCCAAAAATTTAGACTTACAAATTTAAAGAGTTTAAACTTACAATTATAAAAGTTAGGGGGTCATTAAAAGTGTAAGGAATCTAGTTGAGGACTGAAAGTGAAAAAATCAGCTCCAATAAACCTCAAAAGTAGTGCCAAAAAAATTTTAAAATTTAAAAAATGAGCTCAAAAGTCAAAACCCGATTCGACCCGGGTTAGGCCGATTTCTAGTTTAACTGGAATCTTGACCGATTTTGACCGAGTCTTATTTAGGCGATTTTATCACCTGCTCAACTCGGCTTTAAGTCCGTTCCCGGTTAACCCGGTTCAACCGACCGGTACGAGCCGAGCTTAACAACACTATAAATATAGAACTTGTTGGGACAATGAATCTCACATTGGTGTCATGAATGATCTGTCACCACTTTATAATTGTCAAAGGCCACCTCACTCATTGCCAATTGGTTTTGAGATGGAAGCCCAAAGTGCTTATATACTTTGACCTGGCATCAGAGCCCATAATCTGTGGACCTGTGATAACAATGGACCCCTTTGTACGGGATTATTGACTGACCCGGTAGTATATCCGGAGCTGTGAACTGATCCAACAGTATATCTGGTAATTATGTTGTGTTGTGCAACCCCAATGAGCCAAATACTCCATTGGGGTTGAGGGATGGTGTTGGGACAATGAATCCCATATCGGTGTCGTGAAAGATTCGTCACTACTTTATAAGTGCCAAAAACCACCTCACTTATTGCCAATTGGTTTTAAGATGGGAGCCCAAAGTGCTTATATACTTTGACATGGTATCAGAGCCCATGATCTGTGGACCTGTGATAACTATGGACCCCTGTATACAAGATTGTTGACTGACCCGGCAATATATCCAGAGTATGCGCCCGTGTATACGGGCTTGTTGATTGACCCGGTAGTATATCCGGAGCTGTGGACTGACCCAACAGTATATCTGGTGAACTATGTTGTGTTGTGCAATTTCAACGGGCCAAATACTTTATTGGGCTTGAGAGAAGGTGTTGAGACAATGAATTTCACATCAGTATCATGAAGGATCTGTCACTACCTTAAAAGTGTCAAATATAACCTCACTCATTTTTAATTGATTTTGAATTGGTAGCACAAAGTACTTATATACTTTGACATAATTTATAAGTTTCTTCTTCATGATTTATACGATCCCTCCACGTAAAACCATTGAATTGTTAAAACGCAACTCGCCTACAGAAGATCTGTTGCATCCACTAGTTAAATTAACTCCATCGTTTACTTACTGAAGTCTTCCTAAAAAAGTCCTTAACATCTGATCCCTGAACTTCAATATGTTGTTTAATATTACAGTCGGAATGTTGTTGTTTTGACTTTTATGACTTTTATCATCACACACACCCTTCCAAATTGTTGTAAAAGTCAAACTAAAAACGTATACTCAAAATAAATATGATCAAACGTCTCTATATATAATTATAGTTTTTTTTCAACTTAGCATTAATTAAAAATTTTGCCGGTGGGACGTTTACTGATAAACGCATAAAATCATGGAACGAACGGTCTGTAATTTTATCATAAGATAATATTTCTCAAATTTTCTATTAAACAATACACCCTTTATCCTCCAAAACTACACTCCATTTTAGTGTAATGTTTTAGTTTAAGAAAGTGAATTACTTTTTTGGGATAAAAAGAGAAAAATATAAGCCAATCGTCCATGCCCACACATTAGAGTTGGGAAATGAGAACAGAAATTAATGGCAAAAGGCAAAAGGCAAAGAATCTAGGAAGGAGTCAACTTCTACATCCAAGTCAAACCCTCATGGAACATGCATTTTCTCTAGAACTCTTACGGTGTAAATATATTAATTCAGGATGTACATATTTTGACTTTTCAGTAATGATGATTAGCCAACAAACACTTTGTTTAGGTGACCTTCTTTCTTTGAATGTACTCTCTGCTGTCCTTAATATAAGATATTTTGATTTGTCCGAGATTTCATCTAGTACGTATTTCTAATAGACAAAAAAAATCTTAAAAATATATTTTCACATTTTTTGTGTTTTATTGATTGTTAGGAAATATTTTTAAGATTTTTTTATCAATTAAAAATGCGTAATAGGTAAAACTTAGGATAAGTCAAAATAACTTATAATAAGGACCGGAGGGAGTATTTGCCAATTTGGTTGGATTGTAATTTTTAAACATTATCCTCGGAAAATAAATTAAAGTACAAATACAAAAGGGTATGTATTGTACTACAAAGTCTAGTATCAGTTGTGATTCGTTTGACATCGAATGTTAGGTTACATCTAATGTAAACCTTAACATATATTCCCTGGTATAATCAAACGTGTTCAATCATGAAACTATCATATCACAATCATTAATTTCGACGCCATTGCTTTTAGTCCATGCTTATAGAATATTCTTAAAATATTTGGGCACCAACTAACAAGATGAGTTTTGTTTGGTGAAGGTTCTTGATCAGTCCTTTTGCAAATTACGATTGCGATTTGCGAGTCACAAGGTATACCTAGCTAGCATTTAACTCTAATATAAATTAATAAGTTGTTGATCCTAAATTCTATATAAATTTCACGTTAGGTACTCAACAAATATGTTACATTTTATGTTTTAAAAATATTTTTAATTATGAGACACGTTCATACCTTAATTTTATACACTACTTTGTTCAATCGTGTTTCCATGTAGATTAAGTCCATATCACCGACTAAAAAATGGTTGGTATTTGATCGCCATCGTTTTAGCTCATGGAATTTGGCCGGACGGTGATAACTAGCGACGGTGATCAAGTGGACTCACGATTCCAGAGGTTTTTTTTTTTTTTTCTTTTTCTAATTGAAAGATCTTCCTTTTCTTTTTCTTGCGTGGAAGAAAATTGACTAAGATGGCATAGAATGGTAATGTACCTAATTGTACTAAAAATGTCATGATCAGTCTAATCTTACCGCTAAACTGTGAGTATATCTTATTTTGAATAAAATGATATTTCTTCCATCTCAAAATTATTATCTACTTTGGATTTTCAGTTTTAGTCTAAATTGTATTAAAAGTAAAATTTCAAATTAGACAATAATTTTGACACAGAAAGAGTATTAATGGTACTAAAAAGTAAAAATAAGACAAATTATTTTAAGACATAACAAGTATTTGAGAGATCGTGTCAAATCTTTTGTTGAAAGAAAAAGATTGAGCGACCCATATTTACCTTTCTCAACTTTGACAAACCTTGCTATATGTACTCATTTTTGTTAAAGATTAATTATCGACTTATAAAAAAAAACAATTGATAATATAATAAGAATGAGCTACTAGGGAGAGTAAATAAACTGTATAATATCCCGCGGCATTCAACGCGGCATTGGTTTTGGCTTTTAGGCTTTTCAGCTCCCAAATCGGACCCCACTCTTTGTGTGTTGCTGCTACTTATTAGCACTTAATCAGTGTGTGTGTGTGTGTGTATTTTTTTTTGTTTTTCTTCGATCAAATTTGTTCTGAAATTACTCTCTGACTCACAAATCAAATCTCACTACGTTGATTCCAATTCCTTATTCCCTCCACCCAATTTCTTACTTCAAATTCCCGGGAACCATTCCCTCGCTCTCAGAGCTAATAAATTTTCCGACGCCGTAAAATTTTTTATGGGATTTCTCACTCTCAGAGCTACTCTGTTCTCGGCGGCAAGAAAATGAAAATTTTCTTCCGGAGAAGGAAGCGGAAAGAACTTGTGAGAAGAACCGAAAATACCTTGGAGAGGGAATGAAGTTTTATATATCGACTAGCGGAATCAAGAGAGTCACGATCGGAGACGGTGGCGGAGGCGGCGGAGGAGCAGGGGTAGTAAATATGAAGGGAGGAGGAGGGAAAGGAGGATTGCCGGTGGGCCGAACGCGGCGGGGCGGGGGGTTGTATCACCACCGGACGGTGTTGTTGCCGGTGGTGTTGATGCTCGGATTACTTCTGCCGTTTCTCTTCGTCAGGATTGCTTTCATCGTTTTGGAATCGGCATCAGTTTGCTCTTCCTCTCTTGGTAATTTCTTCTCCTTTTGTCTGGTTTTCTCGTCATTTCAGACCTTTGATTATGTCAGTTCCCACGGTAAATTTTAAATTTTCACGAGGGTAAATAGTAACGTAATTTTGTCGGTGATAATTTCCTTTTTTATATAATTCTGCATAGATTGCATGGGATGGAGGATTTTCGGCGGGAATAATGCTGCTCTGGTATGTAGTAATACAAGTTAATTTTTGGATTCATGTTTTTCACTTTTTCCTTTGTGACCAATATACCCTTTTCTCTCGTAATTTTTCTCGTAGATTATTTACAATCATTTTGGGTCATCATGTAGCGGAGGGATAACTTCATCAACCTTATAAAAATTTCATAGAAAAATAAAAAATAAAAATTGAAAAGACAAAATGCTAGTTTTAGTAGACGACTAGCACTACCATTTTTGCCTTGTTTTTCAGGTTTGTGGGGTAGCTTTGTTTATTATGTTGGATAAGCCATTGATTTTCTCCATTTGTTTATTTATTTATTTATTTTTTTTTATGAGTCGATATCAAAAGACAGGAAATTCAAATTGCAAGATAAGGAGAAAAAAAGTCAAGCTCATAGCTTAGGTTATCATTGATGTAACAATTTTGACAAATTTCTGCCTCCCTTCTTTTGTCATTAACTTTTGCTTTGGCTCGTAATTATTAAATTAGTAGTAGTATGCATTCAAAAAACCAGTCAACATCTTTGTCAATACTGGAAATCATGTCGGTGTCGCACTTCATTCTGTGTGACGGTTTGTAAAAATATGAAATTTTTCCCTTAAAAAGTAAAAATAAAGTTGAGGTTGTAGCACTTTGGTAAGATTTTACGACAGTGGTTACTTTTTTTTTTTTTTTTCCTTTGGGTTTCGAGAAGATTTGTATGATTTTAGGTTGGCTTTTTTTTGCCATCGTGCAAATATGTTAAAATTTTATTTTTTGGGGGGTTGTCTAATGATGTCTTGCACGTTATTGTCATCGGTTGGCAGATAGCTGCCATATGAACAAACCTCCAATTATTCTCCAAGGATTACTAGTGCTGTTAGTTAATTGTTAACAATTGTTTTGACACCAATAATATACAATTCTTTCGCCATCACAACAGTTTAAAGAATATAATAATAGAAATTAATATTATTATTATGTGTGTACAAACTCAATCCGATAAGTCGATTCGGTCATGAATTTTAATTTTTAATTTAATATTTGTGGTAGGGAATTATAGGATGGAACGAAGTGACTAGTATTTGTAAAGGTTCGGATAGTCTCTTTCCGTATAACAACACCATCTACTCTAGAATAGACTGTTTTAGAATCCTAAAGTTGGTAATCCTTATGATTATTTTAGTCTATTAAGAATTAATCTTTGTTAGTATGAAAAGTACCTACTGATATTTGTTAAAATAGGTGGGTAGAATTTTTTAACATTTACCCGCCAACTCCAAGCAGCTGTACTAGAGAAGATAAAAAAATCAATTGATGTAATATACAGTACAGTAAAAATTACAATTTTGTTTACTGAGGTGGGAGTTGTACTAGTTATACTAACCGATTAATTAATATAAACTATGTAATTATGCGAGTTGTGTTTATTGTACCGCGAATAATTTGAATTACGTAGTAGTAGTATCATGATTATCAATTTTTGACTTTTGGGTTTGTCTGCCAAATGATGTCAATAGAAGATAGAATAATATGGTTGAGCGCATTTTGGGGAGTGAAGAGATTCAAGACTTCCTTCCACTAGTTGCTCTGTTTTGCCGACACCCTTCTGCAATCTGCATATTACTACTACTACTACTCAAGGCCCACTTTCCCACTTGCTCTGAAATCATAGTATAACACAATTGGATATATGCCAACAAAATGATCCAAGGTTAAAAAACATTTTAATGGCTGACTTTGTTACAGAGATGAACCCAACTTATTGTGAAGGTGCAGGACGGCTAAATTCAGTAGTAATTTTAACATTCACGTGATGAAAACAAAGTTAAATGGTCCTCAGAAATTGATATTTCAAGCTACCCCAGAAAAAAAAAAGAAGGAAATTCATTTTTAATTGCCTTTTCGTTTGAGGATAACGATATGTTGTACTATGATGATGCAATCAGCTAAATGTATGGATGCCCACAATTAGTGGTGATGAAATGAAAACGTTGGTTGGGTCTTTTAGGGTGTAGTAGTCTGTCAGCATGTTAAAAAAGTAGAATTTTTTACCCAGGATTTTTGTTTTCCCTGGGAAGTACACTTGGGTTTTTGTAAAAAGATAGAAATTTTTCATCATTAACAAGTTACACATGAGATGTGTAGTTAGTTTAAACTTTAAAGCTTCTTGGGTTTGTTTTTGTCTTGTTGTTGTTGATAATAATGATGATGATTGTTTTGGTGGGTGTTGTTTAAAAAGCTCAGAGAAGAGCTGACGAGGGCTCTACTGGAGACAACTTATACTGACGGTCAGAATCATCAAATTGGAGAACAATTACCAGAGGATCCAACACTGCTACCGGCGTCATTTGTGGATCTTGTGAAGGATGTGACATCAAATAAGCACGACATTAAGACCTTTGCTTTCAAGGCCAAAGCTATGGTATCTAATCAATAAATTTTATCCTCTTTTATCTTTTACTGACATAAAGTATTGAACCATGTTCTTGTCTTTTCTGGTTTTCCTGCAACTTTGTTTTTTTGCTTGTACAAGTTGGTTTATCTGCAGTCATTTTTTCCCCTCAAGTTGGCACCTACCACCACCGCCCTGATCAAAGTAAACTAGATTTGTGTGGTCCTTGAAGTTGTATGCATCCTAAATCCTTACTGTGTGTACTAAGTAGTGTGTACACTCCTTTGAATGTAACTAGATGCAGGGGAATTGTTTTTTAATATTTTTCTTAAGTGATGGCATTTTTTAAACAAGTGGTTTCCTTTCCACTCTTCTCTAGGATGAGGTACAATGTATTTACATGCATACAATTGCCAAGTTACTAACTTGCTGAGTAGTACTCTGTGAGCGTCCTGATTTTAAACTCTTTAAAATTGTATCTTCAAAATGCTGTGCCATTTTGGAGCAAACCATTTGAAGTAAAACAAAAATTTCAGACAGAAATATAAAAAATGAATGAATGACAGGTCACTAACATGCAATGTTTTGAATGCAACTAATTAACTGGCAGTCTCTGCATTTTTTTGCTATAACTAACAAGATCTTAACGATCATTTTAAAGAAGGCATGTAATTTTTCATTTGTAAACTTCTGATACATTAAGTTCAATGTCCCTATGAAACAGACCTATATGTTGAGAACTCCCACACCTTGAAGCATAAGATTTCTTTTGGACATCCAATTTTGTTCCAAGATTTTGAGCCATCTTCCTACTAAGAATTCAGCACAAATTTCTGATTAGTCTTTTTTCTGATACATTTTGCCATCATGATCGGGCTGAATATCCTACTGCGCATAATTCAAGGGAAGCGTGAGCTAGAGAAGATGCTTTTCTTTTCTTTTTTTTTTTCAAATTGATACTTAACTCATCATCGTACTGAGTCCACAGAGACAACCTCTTAAGGAAATCGGAAAGAAGTTGCTTTGAAACTGAAAAGGATGGTCTAATTTTCATATCTGATGCTATGAAGATTTTATACTACTATTATTTTTTTATTTAATCTTGCCAACAAAACAATTGTCAGTCTCTGTTTTTTGTTTTAACTAACAGAATCATAATTGATCAATGAACTAAGGACATGGGATCGTGTTTGCTTCTAGTCATGTACATTAAGAGCTTTCGTATGGCAATATATGGAAAAGAAGGCTGGGGAATTTTTCAGTTGTAAAATTCTGATTCATCTAGTTCCCTGTCATAGACCTATAACATTTTATGTAACAGACATCAGAGAGCGACGAGAAGTTTCTCTTAAATCAATAATTTTAACGCAGTATGTTGGGTGGTGTTTGCATATCCTTATTTTTTTCATAGGTTTAACTTCTTTGATTATTGCAGTTGGCTAAGCTGGAGCAAATGGTCCAATCAGCTAGGAACCAGGAGAAAATCAACTGGCATTTGGCTTCCCACGGGATACCAAAAAGCCATGAATGCCTCTCTCTTATGCTAGCTGAAGAATATGCGGTAAATGCCATGGCACGATCCCGCTTACCTTCACCAGAATTTGTTTCTCGCCTCAATGACCCTTCATTTCATCATCTAGTTCTTCTAACTGACAATGTGATTGCTGCTTCTGTTGTCATCTCCTCTGCTGTTAAAAACTCAGCCTCCCCAGAAAAATTGGTTTTTCATGTAGTCACTGATAAGAAAACCTATACAGCGATGCATGCATGGTTTGCAGTAAACTCTATCAACTCCGCGGTAGTGGAAGTCAGGGGATTGCATCAATATGATTGGTCGCATAGAGTTAATGTTGGCATTAGGGAGATGTTAGAAATTCATCACCTAATTTGGAGGCATAAGTATGTCAATCTCAAGGAAGAAAAATTTGAAGATCAGCAAGAATTAGATAAAAATTTAGAGGTGCTCAGCCCCAGCTTCATCTCCCTCTTGAATCATCTTCGCATCTATATTCCAGAGGTAAATCATTTAAGGTTTCATTGACTGGTTGTCAAGAAGAGGTTTGAAATGAAATTACTTCGGATTTTGATCCTATTTTGACTCTTATGTGCACCACAGTTGTTTCCAGATCTGGACAAGATTGTGTTCTTAGATGATGATATTGTTGTGCAACATGACTTATCATCTTTATGGGATTTGGATCTCAACGGGAAAGTTATTGGTGCAGTTGTTGACTCGTGGTGCGGTCATGACTGTTGTCCAAGAAGGAAATACAAGGACTTCTTTAACTTTACAATTCCAGTTATATCATCTAACTTGGATGGTAACCGTTGTGCGTGGCTTTATGGTATGAATATCATTGATCTTCAAGCATGGCGTAAGACCAACATCACTGCTACCTATCATCATTGGCTTAAGCTTGTAAGAATACTTTACTAACTTGTACTGAGTGTAAGAGTGTTAATGAACACTAGTTATATGAGGTGCGCCTGGTTGTTACAAGATTCAACATTTGAAAGTTTTCTTGTTGTTCCACTAAGAAACTCCCTAGGCATTCATTCAATTGCACTGTTTGTGCCTAGGCCGGAGGCATGATTTTGAGGCGTAGGCATAATGAACCTTGATTGTTTGAAATCTTATTTTATGTGAAGACTCGGGCATAGGAAGGAGAACAAAAAGAAAAAAAAGAAAGGAGGACAAAAAGAAGATTAAATGTCATTGTTGAGATTTTAATCTGTCTTTTGGGCAGCCATATATAACCTACAGTAATTTTCTCTTAACGTTTCTTTTTCTGCAGAACCTCAATTCTGGATTTACACTATGGCATCCTGGTGCACTTCCACCCGCCTTACTTGCATTTGATGGGCATATGCAACGGATTGAATCTTCATGGCATATGGCTGAATTGGGTCGTAGGTCTCCACAAATCGACAGATACATGTTGGAAGCTGCTGCAGTAATACATTTCAGTGGACCTGCTAAGCCATGGCTGGAGATTGCATCCCCAGAAGTACGAAGTTTCTGGTACAAGCATGTAAATTACTCCAATGAATACATTAGAAAATGTGGAATAATGGGCTAAGCGGTACAATGATCTCTTTACTCATCATTTTGATGAATTTCGGCATCAAGCTAGCCAGAGATAGAAAGTGTGGGAAAGAGGGAAGAAGGTTGTGCCTTCAGTCTCTACTCATACTAAGGGCTCTTCACACTTGAGATTATATAGTGTCTTCGTCAACACAATAGAAATAGATGAAGATAGCATAAAGTGTAGTATACAAGGCCAAAATATATGTGATCTTCCGGAGATCATACAGAATCAAAGATGTAAAATCCATATGTTATTGTAAATTCGTGTTACACGTATATCCCATCCATAAGAAAGGTTACAGTATATTAACTTCTTGTTTGGTTATTCTGCATATCAAATCACATGTCTAGAAATTATGTTGAATTGGCTTTCAGAATATCAAACCTAGATTATCTTTTGTTGTGTGCCTTTCTATTGGACGGATCTTTTGGAAGGGTTTGGCCACTATTATCTTTTAAGAATGCAGAATGCAGATTATGAAATACCTAACTGCACTTCTTTTGGAATGTTGGCATTGGAAACGATGAAGAACTAGTGATAAGACGGAAATGGAATTAGGTTGACATGAAAAGACAACCATTCCAAAGTTCAAAAGAAACTTTGTAATGGAACAGTAGGACTTTCTGTAGAAAGTTTCAAGGATTCAAGACTCCTAAAATCTTTTCCCCGGATGATATCAGAACCAGAAAAACACTCAATGATTGAAAGCATTGATCCCTTCTGTGAATGTGGAAAATCATTAAACAGTTTGCTTAGAAAAGTTAAAAAAGACCCAAATGCTGGCACCGCAGAAGTAAGCACATCCAAATTGGCTACAGCATGCAGAAATTTTCACCAAGAAACCTATGCCTAAGAAACTTTCCTTCAATGATCAGTGTGCGGGCGCAATGAAAAGAAACAGAAAATGGAATTTTCTGGGAAAGCAATGATGCCAAACATGCATAACATATGTCTTCCGGTAAAACTAATACAAATAAAAATAAAAAGTGACCATTCTTATACACAGCATACTGAAAATAATAGTTGGAAACTAAATATCGTCTGCTAATAATTTGATAAGATTAGCATATAACACCCCTCCAGGGTTTTGGTTGGACTCAGTGCTAAGAAATAGAACCCAAGATAGCCAGTGGAATAGTCTCCTTTGTTCGGTTCGCTAGCTGCAACAAAAGAAAGGTGAATTATTAAGCTCATGCACATGAAATATTGAAATTTTGAAATGGTGTAGATAGAGCCTGTGAACCTCAGTTGAAAGTGGAATGTGGTTATTATCTTTGTCCAAAAAAAATGCAGTTATTATCTCTTCTCAGATGTAGCTGTGGACATACTATTCCATTTCTACTAATTTTAAAATGATAATAATTATAACATGGCAATCAGACAGAACTATCTCCTACGCAAAGTACAATGTGTATTTTCTTTTCTGGTTCTAAATGTGTCTTCGAAACCCTAATTGCTTAAACCAAACGATCACGCACACATACAAAAAATTTGATAGACATAACTGAAAAATGATCAATGTGTTATGTATATATATAGCAGTAGAATTACTAGCTGTTTGAAGAAGATAAAAGGGATTCTTACACAAGTTGGAGAGCTGTTTGGTCGTGGCGAGAGTAATGCTGATCAGGTTCCATGAGATTCACTGGCAAGAAGTTCCTAACATCATAAGGCTGTGAAGCAGCAATAGGATGCTGGTATTCAGATCCTGGCATTAAGTTCATATGCTGCTGTGCCCTCTCATTTTCAGCTATCTGCACCAGTACATATGTAGCAATTATTGATCAATTGCAAAGCTTAAACTTTTGGTACCTGTGTTTATATGTAGGATTTTCGTAATTGAAGCGATATGAGACCTTTGCTCGCAGGTACATATTGGCATTTTGCAGCTCAATCTCCTGCCCAAAATGATTCATTTTGAGTCAAGCATAGTCCACAATTCCCTATCTATAGTTTTGGACTAAATAGGTGTTCTAGGATCTTTAGTAAGGTCATAAAAAAAGCCTAATGGTAAAATTTTGAGGTTCTGATCCTTAACCTAAAGGATATCAAAGAAAAAAGAATAAAAAGGGGGGCATAATAAGCCAGCTCTTGCTTGAGATTACTCTGCCCTTATTCTGGTTTCTTTTAGACAAAAGGGACTTATTTAATGTCATCTTTGAAGTCTAAAGTGAAACAGTTCGGCTAGCAAATAAAGAAAAGTAAAAAAAAGTGGAGGAGTGCGTGAACTTACCCTCTTTTGCATCATCTCTATCTCTGCAAAGACCAACTCATTCTGAAGAATACAAAGTATGATATTAGTCTCAAAAATAACATCTATTAATTATGCATTACAAAAACCAAAATAGCAACTATAATAAGATATAAGTGTGGCGACATGGATAGTCACCTTTCTGGTGCGGAGTTTGCCAATGGCTTTCTCCACTCTACCTTCAAGACCCTTAAGATCTTTGAAGCTCAAAGATTCTACCCCCTCACCAAGGATATTCCTGCACATTGGATCACAAGGACATTGTGGTGATTATTACTATATCCATACATGTTGTATACATAATTACCACAACAATCCATCTGAAAAAATATGTCAAAAGTACCTGTTGAAATTCTGTATCTCCCTTATTTGTCTCCTCAGTTTGGTTGCCTCTTGCTGGTAAAACTGAGTAAACAAACAAACAGTTGTGGATTCAGTTAAGTTGTTTTTTTTTTAATGTTTCTCTTCAGCTAAGGAGAAAAGAAAGGTTGGCAGTTTTATACATAACTAATGAATACTGAGATTACCTGAGTATTAGCTTCAGAAACTGATCCAGAATTTGGAGAATCAGAAGATGCTTTCTTGTACCTTTCAATGGTTCCCCTGACACTAAAAAGTGATAGAAGGAGAGACATCAGAACATAATATCCATTATATTTGTTTAATTGTGCCTAATGAAAGCATCCACAACCACAAACCACAAATACAAGTGTTGAAAGAGGAATAATTAAAAGTTTCAAAAAAAAAAGCATTCTTCTGAACTTCCAATTAAACCAATTTTTGGGTAAACAGGAGATCAGTTGAGGGATAACAAAAATGCACTTTTTTTTTGGAAGTACTTGGAAATCAAATGAAGTTACATCTATAATGGGTTAAACTGATTTATATCTGCATTACAAAGACTCTTAAGGATAGGATGGAATGGTAGACTGGCAGTCTCTTGTCCCAAATCCACATTGACATTTCTTTTGTTTACATCATCTCATTTGTAAAATAAAACTAAAATTTTCTGATCTATATCTAAATTATAAAACAAATCATTGAATCTCAACTGAACTACAGTTTCATTAACATGTACTAAAATTAGTATTAAAATCAGATGGAAAGAAACATGAAAAGCAATGATATTAAAGCAATGATTTCAATCCAGTCTGATTCATTATTTATATCATGCTTTGGGAAAGTAAACAACTACAACAAGCCTATCTTGGATGAAATGGTAACAACTAAAAACAATGTTTGTTTATTTAAGGACAAACGTCATTTCTTGGAGGCAAAACCTCAGAAAGTGTCCATCAATCATCCTCGGTAGCAATGAGCTACAAGTCTAGCACGTATTTTGACTACAAATTCTATAAAACCTGAGTTTTCAAGATAGCTTCTATATAAGCTATGACCTATTTTCACATGGAAAAACGAAAATGAAATTATAAACTACGAGAAAAACTTACAATGACCAAACTAGTAACTGAGAATTTTCAAACAATTTATAATGAATAGTAGAATTTGATGAGAACTAATTCTCTTTTTTATCTTATCTTTACAGTCCACTTCATCAAACGAATATAGTACTTATAAGAAAGATTAAAATGAAATGGATAGAGTATAAAGTAAGATTAAAACATAATTGCGACATGATTGAATATAGAAGAACGTTCTTGTCGAAAATGATCACGTAAAAATTAAACCATAAGTTCTGAGTCAACATTTTATCGACCCACATGTTTCCAAAATGATAATAATGTTGAAAAAATGGCATGTAAATAGAACACAAAAGATAGACAAATAATCAAACCAAAGTGATAAGACACGTCAATTTAGTTTTAAATTTGTGTCTCATGAATGGGACGGGAAAGAGTGTTTGAAATGACTATTTAAAAGGCTGAAGTACAGTGACAAACTGTGAACTTCACACACAATTGCAGAAGTCCCGGGCATAAAAACTGTGTACAGTTTCTTTTCTTAAAAGAACCCCACAAAGACATTACACGCTTTCTTATATTCAGTCGGGAGAGATATATATACATATAATAAAGCTGTAACCTTAATATCCTCGAGCCACTGATTGGCTGTCCTCTGCCACGTCGGCTCAAGATCCTACAATATGATTGGCTTGACCATCCACACTCCCTCTCCTTTTGACGCGTGTAAACAATCCTATTAACCCAAATGTAATACCTCCCCTGAAAGTCTGAAACACCCTCTTACCCGGCCTCGATACCTTCAAAATCCCGATATTGCTTTCATAGTTTCAGTTTCTTTCAGTGACTTAATTGCAATTATGCAGTTCCCTCCCAACCCTTTTAAAGTTTTCCTAAATCCTTAAATATATAAAATAATTTTCCCTTCTTTTTGTGATGTGTGTGTGTGTTTGAGTGATGGGTATTTACTGTTTAGTACTGTTGCTTGTTTGTCAGCTCTGTTTTTTTTTTTTTCTCGTCTGTGATCTGAATAATGCATCAGATCAGAGTGAAGCTGTCTACTTTCGGGACTTAGTTCAGAGAGCAGCCATTTTCGCCAAAAGAAAAACTTGCTCACTCTTCCCCATGCAAGAAAGATATCATTATAAGTGTGGAAATCTCATTGGCCCTTTTAATCTGACTGTACTTTTTTGATTCCCCCATTACCCTATCTTCTTCTCCCCCGTCTAGATGTTTGTTTAAAATTATTCAGAAGAAGACCAGAAAAACTTGAAGCTGAAGAAGAATATATAGGTTGGAAAATTAAAATAGAACTATATAATAATAATACCACAACCTGAAATGTGGAGTGTTCTCAATTTGTTGTTTGGTTTGAACTTGGAGAAGGAAGTCAAAATTATAAGGAAAAGGGAAAAAGAAGATCTAAGTAGAAGAATGCAAGTATATAGGCTACAGAAAGAGTAAAGATTTCACCTTTTTTTGGAACCAAAAAAATTTTGACTGAAGAAAGAAAAGATGATGAAGGACAAGCCCACCCAAGAGAGGAAGGGATTATGACACAGACACTCCTCCCTCTTCTTGTCTTTTATTAAGTGTTGGAACTGAATAATCATGTCTTCTGACTAGACCAAAGATTCTTGGCTATAACATATGATGTATAGTGCACATATCTAATCTAATGTCTCAAACCCTAAAATCTAGTACCAGTTACTACAGGTTAGAGTAGGGGCCAGATTGTCAACAAAGTTATCTCACTGGGTTTAGAACCCTAAAAATCAGGCTTTGACTACTGTGTCTGAAAGATGTGATTTTTATGAGTTTTTTAGTCCAACCAGTTTTGAGTTAGGAACCCTAATCTGCAACTTCATTGGTCATTCTGACTGTCAGCTTATTTTTCATAAGTGAACTGACATGTTACTAAGGATTAGTCCTAAGATGAAGAGAAAGAAGGAGAGAGGGGTAAAAAAAATAAAGACATGACAGCTTGGGCTCTCACTCTGCTCAGAGCTTCTGCTTATAAGCTGACAAATTAATGACATGTGGAGAGAGAAAAGAGAATGAAGATAGGAAATGGCAAAGATTGCAACAATGGAGTTATTACAAGAGAAGCAGATTTCCCAAGAGCTTCTTTTTCTCCTTTTCACCTCAATTTGTTTGTTTCAGCAACTATTACTCTTTAGACATGAGGGATTCTATTTCCATCTTTTAGCAGAGCAAGATCTAAGAATAGATCATACAAGAAAAAGTAAAATGAACTGGAAAACCCACTGGGATTCAACCACAGACAGAGAAAGAGAAAATTTTTTGCAAAGCTCAGTCAGGAAAGATAACAAAAGAGAGAAAGCACAAAGACAATTGAATCTTTTGGAAGGCAAAGTTTCGATCTTTACTGCCCAGAAACTGCTGATATCATTGTGTTGTTGTTTCCTTTCTCTTTTTCACAAAATCCCATCAAAAATTTATTAAATGAGAGAAGCTGATGAAACCAAATCATAGACATGACCCTTCATTAATCCTCCAATTGCATAAATGCTAAAGTGACCATTTAAACACGCAAGAGGCAGAAACAACAACAACAACAAAAAAAAAAATGGAAACTTGATGACCTTTCTGGTTCACTGAAAGCAAGAAATTTAAATGTAAAAAATAGGCAACAACCTTAACTTCCTCGAAAAAAAAAGACAACCTCATCAAAATTTAAGAACACCCTTCAAAGCCAGAGAATTCAGTGATTTCCCAAATTAGATCACAGAAAGCCAGAAATCGAGAGAGGTAGAAGATGAAATGAAAAAGAAAAATCCTCAACCTGTTATTGGCATATTCATAGAGTCGGCCACGGCTAGAGAAGACAATCAGAGCAACTTCAGCATCACAGAGGACAGACAATTCATAGGCCTTCTTCAGTAATCCATTCCGGCGCTTGCAGAAGGTGACTTGTCGATTGGTGGTATTCTCTATCCTCTTGATCTCAATCTTCCCTCTTCCTGATTTTCTGAGCTGAGAAGAAGAGGACTCAAATTCTACTTGATTAGGACAAGCATCCATCTTCAAAAAGGGCTGAAACAAGCACAACCAAATTGATGATGATTTCTAGTTAGTACTAGTATCAAAAGTGATGATATAGATTATACCCCAAATTGGAGGAGAGTTTTCAGTAAAGAGAATTTCATAGAAGCACCCAAATTAAGCAAAAGCAAAACATAAAAATTAAATTAGCCCCCCTTTGTATTGCTTGTGTTTCAGATATCTAAACAATAACGGAAAAAAATAAAAAAGGAATTTCAAAATTTGATCTTTGATCATTACTAATGACTAACCTCTCTCAAGGCTCAACTCAAAGAAAGCAACACTAAAGAGTAAAGATACTGAAACAAGGAGAGAACTTTCTTGTTAATATGCTGAGTTAGAAATGGGAAAAATGGGGAATTTTGTTTTCACAGTCTAATCTCTCTTCTCTCTTCTCTTCTCTACTATACAGTCTATATAAATGCTATGAGAAGTAGAGCAGTGAAACAGGAAGAGTTTTTGCTGAAAATGGAAGGCAAAAGCTCAACCAGAGAAGTATTTATAGATAGGAAAATAGACCATCCAACAACAAACTCTATTATTTTGGTAGTATATTTTTCCCTAATGTATTTATTTTTTTTGTAGGGTAACTGTATTGAGAAGGGCTCAGCTGATCATCATCAAGTACAACACAAACAAGAAGGGGGAGGGAGGAGAATTGATGGCCACTTTCAGACTCCATTTAACCGTCCATTTTCTTTTTCTCAAGTATGGGAAAAAGGGGGGGAGAGAAGAGAGAGATAAGGGAGTCTCTGTTTCTTTTGAGAAAGTGACTAATAAATGGAGGATTGAATATGACATTGGTGAAGTTGCACTCAAACCATATAATGAATGGATATATTGGAACAAAAACCAAAAAATGAACTGAAAACCCCTCCCTCCTCTTCCCCTATTCATGTCATTTTGGCTTTTTGGATTTTTCATTTTCTCAAAGTTTTTTTCTTCCTCTTTTTTTTTGGTATATTACGCATTCGGTGTTCGAAATTATTGTTCCGATTAATCCAGATTCAAGTTGGATAGGTCCTTTTGGGAGATAAAACTCTTCCAGCATATATTTTGATCACTGTTGCATGCCGATCCCCGAGTTAGAACCCGGGTCATAATTAAATTGGCCCAATACCTTTACCACTTAGACCTAAAGTGCTTTCTTCCTCCTCCTCTGTGAGGATCCATTTGCTGTTTTGTTTTACCTTGTGGTTGAAAAAAAGAGTTGTAATTTTCACAACCCTCTCTCCTATAATGTACTAAGAGTTTCTTCTATCATCATTATTATTACTATTATTCGGTTTAAGATTGGGGTGACGTCTTTGAGTGTGACTCCCATGTGATGTCCAATTCACCATCTTATTACTCTTTCACAAATTTCATTTATGGTAAGGGGGAAAAGCTCATCATGCTCTTTGGCCTCATCGGCCAATGGCCATTACCTCCTGAGTTTAGGTCCAATGTATGTGGGATTTTTCCTCCCATTTGTGTCATTCCAAATTTACCTATCTATCCTGCTTTTTTTTAGCTACCCCTTCTGTTTGTAATTTCTTTTGGGATCAAGTGAAATGTATCATCAACAATTTCAAGGCACCAACCCTCTTAGGTAGGGATTTTTCTTTGTCTCTAAAGAATGAACTTAATTATTGTGAGCTTTTTGTATCAATATTCCTATCTATATTCTTTGTTATGGGGGCGTCATTGTTATAGAATGATGATGCAATCACTGTAATAAGTCTTTAGTAAATGCATAAAAAATGACATAGTCCAATATGCAAAAGTGACACACAAAATATGAGACACGGAATCTTTGGTAGAAGATGAGCATGACAATAGTTTGTTTTCGTGCTTATCACCCACCAAATTATGATTGTAAATTGAAGATATTGTGAAGAAATTTGGAAATATTCCACAAACTATTAACTCTGCTGGTTCTGGGCATACACATTAATGGCTTAATTTTTTATTTCCAGCTGCATGTCATCATCACCGTTGCGCCGATACTCCGATGGAATCTACGGTGACAAAGTTTTGATGAATTTGGAAACCTGAAAAACTTTCTTGAGCATAAAAAAAAAGAAGGGAAAAAGGTAATCAGAGAGATACACAGCTTTTTTGTTTTCCAGGGCATGCCTAGCTAATTTCCAGAGTTTGATCAAAAGGCACTGAGAAGGGGAAGAGAAAGGAAGGCATTTTTGGACACCAAATCAAACAAGTGGAAACATGACAATGCGTCTGAATTTCATCATTCATTTTTTTTTTTTTTCCCTTGGCTGTACTAGTTACTATTCCCATCTGGGCTTAAAATCTCAAGTGTGAACTGCCAAGAGGATATATAGGAAGTTGGGAAGAATTTCTGGGTACCTTAACCAAAAAAAAACACACGTCTATAAGTGCGAAACCAGAAAAAAAGAAAGAAAAAAGGTGTTCATTTTTTGGGTGTAACATGGGGATAAATTTGTTATTTATTAGTTTAACAAAGATGACTATTTTTTTGTGGGACGAAGAGACGGTAAAACATCATAACGAGAACTCTAGACGCTTTACTGAAAGTTTGTGATCATATAAAAGAGCAAGCTTCCTTTCTGGGGTATAGGTGGAAGTAGATTTACAGAACCATTTTAGTTTAGTTACTGAAGAAATGAAAAGGGAAAAGCAAAAACACAAATGTAACACAAAAGAAATTGATGGCATTGGGGTTTTGACTAGATATCAAATCAAAACAGAATCCCATTAGGTCCCCAGTTATTTGTTTTGTTGTAGTGGGGCTTCTTTCTCTTCCTCCTTGCTCCGATTATGACCTCCTTTTTTGAGTTTTGACAAGACTTCTTACTTCTCCTTCTTCTTCTTCTCTCTCTCTCAACTTCGTTTTCGCTTCTCATCTGTCAACAGATACCCCCTCCATATTCACCTTTTTTCACATCAATCCTGTTTCGTGTTGTTAATATAATACGATTGATTCATGTCTGGAAGTTTAGATATTGTAACGTTTTAATTAATACAGTAGATGGTGTAACATTATTATCAGTGTTATATATATAGGACATCAATATCCATCAGAAGGCATATCTCTAGTGTCTTGATTACTTATGGTTCATGTATTTGTGATTAATGTTGTTATTTGTACCCAAAAAATTGACCCCTTTTCCAAATTTTGCATGTGAAACGTGACTGATTTGCATACTGTAGAATGTTGTTGGAGGTGCTTTTTTTTTTTTTTTTTTAACTTGGAAAGGAAATTCTGTTTTTTTGAGGCTTTGGATTAACTTTGCGTGTCGGTGGGAGAAAAAGAAAACGGCTTTCTGGGTTGACTTAATTCCCAAACAAAAAAAGAAACAATTAATTTTGAAATATTAATTGTAGACACAAATTAAAGCATCAAATCAAAGAGCATACTTATAACACCATATGAAATGTACGAAAATTGTGTTTATCAAAGGAATAATAATATTCTTAGATATTTTGTAGCTTTTCATACGTTGAAACTTACACTTATATATATATATATATATGTATGTATGTATATATGTATAGCGTTTCATATGTGTACTGATTCACTTGTTGTCTTAATCAAACGATAATGAACATAAATTATAAAATGTGCTTAATTACCTGACATTATTATATACGCGTTAGGAACTCGTGCAAATGAAACATTCTTATCATTATTAAATCACCAAATACAATTCCAAATTTTAAAGTTTATACAGTTACAATGTTACATCACTCTTTCTGCATAGACCATTCTGTTACACCCTAGGTTTCCAAATATGGAGTAAGGTTTTATCACTGAATTCACACCGCAGAGGAAAAAGATTTATTACTTCTTTCTGCATACTTTCAACCAAAATAATAGCCTTGTAGACTATGGACCATCCTAATCAAACTGGATAAATAATACTAATATTATTATATTTAATTGATCAAAAAACACGAGTATCTTTGTATCAAGTTTCCATTTTTATAGTACGACTTGCAATTGTTTCATGGTTTACAATTTCTTCTTCATCACTAACCCTAGAACTCCCAGCGAGCTTGAAAATGATATAAACCATACTTCATTATGTATAAAAGTGTAAGGTGCAGGGATACTCTCTCCGGTCCTTATTATAAGACATTTTGATTTCATCATAGATTTAGCCTATGATATCTTTTTAATTGAAAAAAAAAAACCTTAAAAATATATTTTCACATTCGTTGAGTTCTCCTAATTATTATGAAATGTTTTTAAGATTTTTATTCCAATTAAAAAAACATCCTAAGTGAAACCTACGACGAAATCAAAATGCCTTATAATAAACACTGAAGTGAGTATTTCATAACACTTGTTGATTACGTCTTACAAGTTTGCTCGTGAATATTCATTTCGACCTTAAACAAATTTAGTTTTAATTTGTGTCTTATAATTAAGATCAGAGAAAGTTTTACACGTCTAGTTGTTAAAATCAAACTCTGCAGGAATACGTCAATGCTATAGAAGGAATGAGACATATGCATAGAGAAGTTAATTTTGCGATCGATAATGTAGAGTTAATGGCAGCCAAAATAGGCAGACGGCCCTGCAGTTAGGGAACGGTTCGACTAGATGAACTAGATTAATGTTTTTTCCTGGAATAATTAGTTTGAATTTTTATTTTTGATATGATTTTTACTAGAAATAAAAATTTAAACTGGACAAATTAATATTTGGGACGGAAAGAATATATTATACCAAAAAAAAAAGGAAAAACATATGAATACACAAAACAAGTGGAAAAGAAGATGGATCCGGCCAGTACTTATCCATTTGAATATTAATAATCAAAAAGGAATAGAAAGATATTTTGTCTAACAAAGTACCATATTGAACCGCATGGATGGAGTAATTTGTAGGGAAAAAGTGGAAACTTTTTAGCAGGAAAATATTATATGGACCCAAATCTGATTTCTTCATTTTGAGGAAGTTCTTCTTTTACTAAATATATATATATATATATATATATATATATATTATCTAAACGTTTTAACT